TTTATTATAATTACTGTACCATACACCAAGTAAATATATATTTTGACGCCACTGATTCGTGCATGTAATTTAAATTTATTTTTTATATCAGCTTTATCAGATTTATTATCAAATGTACACCAAGTAAATATATATTTTGACGCCACTGATTCGTGCATGTAATTTAAATTTATTTTTTATATCAGCTTTATCAGATTTATTATCAAATGTATACCTATTTGATAACCGTGTGAAACGAGTCTTTTATTCTGTGGTTTTATTATGTTAGACAGTTCGGTCCAGCCTGCTGGTATCAGCTATAGTGGAGTAAGAATAGCATATAGCAGATAATATATTAGAACCTGTAGAAAAGTAACTAATAATGTGTTATTTTGTATGAATATTGAAAAGTGTTTAATTTTTGAATTACATTTATTAAAAATAATTCCTTAAACTGCATTTGCTTTTAATTCTCCAAAAAGTAGTAAAATGGCTTCTGTTGGCCACTAGTTGTTACTTGTTTTAGTTGCTTATATGCTTTTATTAAAAACCTTCTAATACAATGAACTGCTAGCTATTTGAAAATTTCAATATAAATTAGTTGATATGAGTAGTTTTTTATTAGGATTATAAAAGGGAAGGAGAAAATATTAACATACTTAAATACTTTAAACGGCATGGTTATTTTTTAGATAGTAATGTTAAAGTTGGCCTAGTTAAATATTAAAATTGGCCTGCCTAAAATCTTGCACACCCAGAAAAAAACTGAAATGACGCCCCTGGTTTTGAATACTTTCAGAGTATATAACTTTCATATTACATATTTTTTCATAATATTTTGTTCCACTTTTAAATTTTATGTAAGGATTAAATTATTCACAAAATGGAACAAAAAGTCCACCGAGAGGAACAAAATATCGCACTAGGACATTTTGTTCCGTTTTAGGATTTTTTGTTCCGTGTTTAATTTTTTTGAAAAAGGAACAAAATGTCCCCAAAAAGGAACAAAATATCACCTTACATACATTGTTTCACTTCTACACAGTGAGCTTAGATTCGTTTCTCATAAAAAAAAAAAAATTATATTATTATTTATGTCATTAAACATTGAAAAGTTCTCTTTAAGAAATAAATAACGTCATGAACTTCACCTATGCAAGTAGGATTTGTTGGTAAAATTTGGGTAAGGTGATATTTTTTTTATGAGAAACGAATCTAAGCTCACTGTGTAGAAGTGAAACAATGTATGTTGATGGAACCTTTTCATACTGTCCACATTTTCTTTTTTTACAATTATTTCCTTACATGGATTTTTAAATAATCACTAGTATTTTGTTTATTATCCGATAGAAAAATAAGAAACCTATTTCAAAGTATTAAGTACCAAAAATTATAATAGGTAAAAGACTTTGAAATAGCATTTCATAATGCTGTCAAATTAGTATGGCCTTGTTGTAAGTCAAAGGATGTACCTAGGTTCCGTTTAATTCATCATGGTATAAAAAAATTCAAGACCTTGGTTTAATTGTCTCTTATAAACAAAATAATTGGTTAAAGCACACATTTGGATTGGTGTATTTAAATCCAGAAGATGTATTTGATTTAATTTCAGATATACCAGATGACCATACATATTCACAATATACGGGTTATTTATTAGAAACTTATATACATGAAATTTCAAAATGTCCTCCAAAAATGTGGGCATGCATGTCAGAAAGCTTATGTAAAACTACTAACAATGTGAATCGTTTCATTCACACTGTAATCAACAGTTTTTTTAAATCACACCCAAATATAAACATATTTTTAAAAATTTTCATTGAAATTTTCAGACGGACACTTACATTAAAATAAATAGCAGTATAGCACCAATTTAAATACTCCAAATACACCGAAAAATAAATACACTTTGTTAAAATATTAGGACTAGTAAGGCTATAACTGATTTAAAAAATAAACTAATATTGCGTTATTCGTACTTAAAGAGTGTTGCATTTAACTATGTTAAATAAATTAACAAAATAGTACGACTTTAATTATTTTAATTATTTTATTTAGTAAAACTATGACAAAATATTACCTATTTATTTAGTTATTAATATATTTTTAATATTTAATGTTGTCATATAAACCATGTACAATTATTTCAAGTTACAGCTAAAACATACTTTAAAAATAATATGGATAATACTCAATATGGAATAAATTATAATTTTACTATACAGGTAGATTGAAGGAAACTGTACATGCTCGATAATTTCCCTGGCCAAATTGTACAGCCAAATGCCAATCCACCATACATTTGTATGGCTTTATAAAAATATTTATTTAAATTGAATTGCATTGCATTACATTTACAATTTTCATTTTAGATAATATACAATGGATAGGACATAGTTCTTATCGAACGTTCCCGAATTGTCTGTCTCACACAGAAAGTATTTTTATACCCCATGAAATTATAAACTAATTCATGGAAAATACCACATTTTTTTGTTGAGTAGGATAGAAGATATACATTTTAGATTCTGAGTGAAACGATGAATGTATTGATTTTACAATGATGTGTGTGTTTTTTTTTATTATTTTTATTTTTGTGTCTGTCATCACGTTTTAGGACAGTAAAAGTGCTTGGATTTTCTTCATCAGTAGCTTTTCTGATAGGAAAGTGAATCTAGTTGGTACTTTTAGGAGTCAAAAGTATAAATTTCCCAGTAGTTTTCACAAGCGCCGGGAAAAACAACATAACAATTAAGGAAAAACGGGAATTTTTAAGCAAAATTGGTTTTCCAAAAAATTGATTTTGGTTTTTGGTGTAACTCTAAAACAAATGAACGTATATACATGAAATTTTCACTGGTTGTTTATATTTGCATTTTCTATATACGATAACATTTTCAAAATATTTTGATTTATTTTGAACTGT